CCAAGGGTAGACTGATATTTGTCCTAAAAAGGAACAGAGCACGGACGCTCGCTACGTCGTGGATGAGCCTCGAGAACAGGGCGCTGAGTTGGAGGAACGGACACGGAAAGGCCACGTGTTTGTGACCCTGTCCACGGAGAGCTTTGGCACATCGTAGAGAGCAGATGAGGGGTTGCCTGGGGCTGGGTGAAAGTCGAGGGGAGTGGAGTCTGGTCTCCTTGGGGTGGTGAAAATGTTCTTAACTCGGTTAATAGTTGCACAACTCCATGACTATGCTAAGAACCATTTAATTTAAGTGGGTGAAGTATACAATGTGTGAATTAGATGTCAATAAAGTGTTAAGCCTCCCCTACAAAAGCAGCAATAAAGAGAAAGTTGTAAGAGCTGCTAGAAAAAAAAGGCACAGAGGAACGAAGGGGAGGCGAGGGCAGGGCTCTCTGGGGAAACGAACGCGAGGAGAAAGTTACAAAGGCCACTGGGCCGGGGCTGCGGGCGGAGCACCCGGAGCAAGGGGAAACTGCGACCACGCGGAAAACGGTTTGGCAGCTTCTTAGGAGGTGAAGCGTGTGACCTGGCCACTCGGCCCCAGGTGTTTACCCAGGAGAAGAGAAGGCCCACGTCCACACAAAGACCAAACACAGATGCTCCCATCAGCTTCGCATGGAGTCGCCCCAAGCTAGCTGGGACCCGAATGTCCATCGACAGGTGAGCGGAGAAGCCAAGTGCGCCGTTTCCGACGGCGCAGCATCCGGGTGGATGCGGGTGCCAGAAAGAACTGGTGGTGTGCAGCGGTGTGGGTGCAGTGTGGGTGCGAACGGGCACACGCCGACGCCCATTTACATAAAATTCCAGACAGCGCCACCTAACGGCAGTGACAGAGAGCCGATCGGTGGTCGCCTGGCGTGGCGTTTCCAAGGGCGCAGGAACCTTTAGCCTTACGGCCTCCTGGGTGTGTACATGTCGCACCTTAGCAAATTTTACACTTTGAATACGTGCAGTTTACTGTACATACAGCAAACCTCATTAAAACTATTTAAAAAGTAAGTGAAAAGCCCATAATTAGTGGAAAGCCCTTAAGGCCGCCTGGCATGTCGTAGCTGCTGCTGAGAATTGGCGCTCATTTTTCAGCGCTTTCTGCCTCAAGGTCAATGGCTCCGAGGCGGCTCCAGGACTTCAGGAAGGGGGCCTGGCGCGGAGTCGGGAGACGCACCCACCCCAGGCGCGGGCAGCGGCGCGGCCTGGGCTCTGTCGGCTTCCAGTGGGGTTTTGGTGCCCCCTGGCGGCCCCCAGGGGTACAGCAGGCTGCGTCTCGCTGCCGCCACCTTTTCCGCCCGTGGACAGGTGCTGGCCTCCGCTGTGGAGCTGGGCTGGTGTCCTGATGATGTGCTACAAGCCCTGCCCTCTCTCCTGTCCCCGCAGCAGACACCCCCACCCCGCCCAAGGCCGTGACTGAGGTGGGGGCGGAAGGGAGGAAGCCTCGGGCTCGCCCCCGTGAGACCCTTCTCTCCACTGCCTGACCCCGCCCACTGCAGTTCCCTGCCCCGCCCCCGCCCCGCCCCCCGTTTCTCTTCTCCCAGGGCGCCAGGCCGATGGCTGCGAACGCTCCGAACTCCTCATCTTACAGAAGTCGATGTTTGTCCACAGGCAGATCCACACATGCCACCCGAGCCGGACGCGGCGCTGGGCTAGCTGGGTGCCCCTGTGGGAACAAGCATGTGTGACAGGATCCCCGTCACCCCCCATCCGCGGAAACCAGTTGCAGGCCCAATGTGAAAGGTAAAACGATGACGCCTTCGAAAACAAGCAAGTCCATCCCCACGAAACCACAGGACCTAGAGCAGCCAGGCTCTTCAGGAAAAGTGACAGCCATGAAAGAATAGAGTCTTACCCAGGGATGTGACAAACGCACTCCTACAAATCCATGATAAACAGGCGTGGAAAATTGGCAAACGAACCGAGGAGACACCTGTCTTCCCAGCACCAAAGGCCAGAAACCCCGGCTGTTGAGGACACGTGACTAAAAGCACACGCGATGGCACCGTGGAGCCCGCACGAGCGCAGCACCAAGGCCGCCAGGACACGGGGCACAGAAGCCGCCGAGCGTCCTGCAGCTGCAGAAGCAGGAGGGCTGGAAATGGAGTCGACGCCGGTCGCCTGTGTGAGGGACCCCACGAAACCCAAGCCTCCGGGCTGGTGACCGCGGTGGGTGCGGAGCCCACACACCCGTCCTGGCCTGCTCTGCCATCCGGTGCTCCTATGTCCTTTGTCACACCTTTTACACCAAACTGTCAAAGTAGTGCATGTTTCCCAGGCTCTGGGACCCACTCCGGGGACGGTCACTGGACCTCCGGTTTGCAGCTGGGTTGGCAGAGTCGGGGACCTGCTATGGGCGGCTGGCGCGGAAGTGGGGGGTAGTCTCACGGGATGGGGCCCTTAACCTGTGGGTCTGATGTGCCCTCTCTGGGTGATGGCGCCAAGACTGAGTTAAACCGTGGGGTACCAGCTGCAGCCTCACGCGAAGGGCTCCGAGCAGGAGGGCAGCCTGGTCTCCCCGCACACAGACGCGGCGGGTTCTGAGGGCATGCGCCGGGCCCGGGCAGGCTTGGCTCCCTGGGTGACACCAGCAGGCTCCACATTCCCGTGCGGGCCGGCGGTGGTCACACGGTGCTCACTCGCCAGCCGTCCCTGTGTGTGCCTCCTGCTGCCCGGTCACACCAAGCAGTTCATTGGCAGTCAGAGCACCGGCTCGCTCTCCCTGTGGTGGCGCCTCCTGCACTGTCCCCCTCGCAGCCTTGGCCCTGCTGTCCCCTGCCCACTGAGACTTGTCCCTGAGACTCTCACAGGAGTTTTGGCCCCGGGCCCCTCCTCAGCGGGGTCCCCGGCCCCGCCAGGCCCCACTTCTCTCCTCTCTGCTTCCGTCTTACAATGCGGCGCTGTCAAAACAATCTGATTTACCCGTGTGTTTAGATGTCTGCTGCCTGACCCTTCTCATGTCCCCAGCTGGGAGGCCGAAGGTTGTGTGTCACAGTGACCTGCCCAAGGATGGGCAACGTGGCCCAAGTCGGGTCAGGTGGCCTGGAGCACTGCTCAGAGAGGGCTTTTGGGACCCAACCTTGCACTTGCTAGCTGTGTGGCTAAGCACCAGTCCCGCACCCTCTCTGTGCCTCCCAAGCCCGGCTGTGGACTTGGCCCCTCCTGCTGCCCTCTCTCAGGGGTCTGGCACAGGAGCTGCCTTCGGGGGGCTGCTGTCCTCGGCCGATGCCAGAACCCAGTCACCCTTGCCCATCTCCTCTTGCCAGCTGGCTGGCCTGGGACGGCAGCGCCAGATCCCCTTTCCTGGAGATGCAGGCTGCACTGCCGCCCCCATCTCGGGTCCCGCCTGCTGGCAGGAGTGGCCCACTTTCCTCCCCTGACCCTCCACCTTCTCCAGAGGCCCAGGGCCCGTGCCTTTTTGGGGTGCTCTCCACCGAGAGCCTTTACCCAAGTCCCTCAGGCTGGTCAGTGCTGCCAGGGAGGGGCCAGGTGCGGGTAGCTGCAAGTCCTGTCCCCAGGTCTGCACAGCCCACCTCCAAAGAACCCCCGGGGACATTCTGGAGTCATCACTTCCCAGCTCGTCACTCCGACTCCCTCTGTTCCCACGGGGGCTGGGGTAAAGCCCCAAGCCCCAGAGGGCCTGGGCTGGTTCTGGGGGCTGCCGGCCGGCAAGGCGACGGGAGGAGTGGGGTCCGAGGTTCGACGGCAGTAGGGCCGCTTTGAGAGCCAAAGACAGCCCGTGGCCAGGGGAGGGGTCGGAGGGCCCACCGCACGGACAGGAAGGCCTGTGCACCGCCGACCGCTGCTCAGACTCGGCCAGCGTCCGAGCCGACCCGAGGGCGTCCCTCGCGTAGCTGGAGGCCCCCCAAATGCCATCTATTTGTGGCCTGGACCCTGATGGCTGGCAGCAGACATGTGACACTGCAATGGGGTATTTTTGGCAGTGGGGGAGGGGCCTGTGTGGCAAGCCCAGCACCCTGCGGCTCTGGGACAGGCAGCCTGGACGCCCGGTCAGCGGCAGGAGCCCAGGTATGGCACCATCAGCTCCTCTTTCCTCTCCGAAGGGGTCCCAAAGGTGACAGCACCTCCAAGGACCTTCCCCAGAGCCAGACGGGAGGGCAAGGTCAGTGGGTCAGGGCCTTGAGGCACCTCCCTCTCGGGACTGGACTGACCAGTGTGACCTCCCACCCCTGTGTCTGGCAGCAGCTGACCAGAGGCCCAGGGCAGCCCCTCAGGGGCTGAGAGGCGGGGGGCTTTGCAGCCGGGCTGGCCTGGTCAGGGCCGCAGACCCTGGGATCCGGAGGCGCCTCTGTTCTGTGGCCTCCTGCACAGGCGGGGGCACAGCCAGGCCCCCCTGGTGGTCCAGGTGCACCCCGACCGGCAGCAGTGTGACCCCTGGGAGCTCAGAGGAAGCCTGGTGGCCCGTCCCAGCCTGGGCTGGGGGAAGGTCATTACCAGAGGCTGGACACTGTGGCCCCTCTCCCACGGCCAGCTGCTGCCGGGGGCATGCTGGGACGGGCAGAGCTGACCGTCGCTAGGTGAGTGGACCCCTGGGCATGGCTCTTGAAATGGGCTCCGCCGCGCGAAGCGGGCCTCTGGGGGAGACGGCCAAAGGGTGAGGCTGGCCTGGCTGGACACACGGAGCTCGTAGCTGAGAGGGGGAGCCCCGGGCGTGGAGGCTCAAATGCGAGGCCCCCGTCTGTCAGTGCTTGGCACTGACGCAGAGCTGTGTGCAGCAGGGAGGCAGACGATGTGTCATCACAGAGGCAACGTCTGGGGTCGGCGTGGAAACAGGGGCAACGGGTCACGGCTGTTCCGGCTCGGAGGGCACAGCACAGCGCCCTGCACCCCCTCTGCTTCCTTCCAGGGTGGAGACGTTGTGCCAGCCCTGAGCCCGGGAGCAGGGGCCGCCCGGGGGGCGGACCTGTGGCGGCCATGCCTGAAGACCCGAACTCTGCCGCCCCGAGATGGAAAACTTCCAGTACAGTGTCCAGCTGAGTGACAAGGACTGGGCCGAGTTCTCGGCCACCGCAGAGGAGTGTGGCCTCCTGCAGGCTGGCCTGGCCTCTGGGGATGAGCTCCTGTCCAGTGACATTGACCAAGGAGACAGCAGTGGCAGCAGTCCCCCAGGGCCCCTGACCCTTCTCGAGGGGCGGCCGGCTCCCGGGGGGCGTGGCCGGCCTGGCTCTGAGGAGGAGGACCAGGCGGCAAGGCAGCAGCTGGTCAGCAGATCTTGGCAGGAACCCGACCTGGCCCAGGGCACTGGTCAGCAGATGCCCAGCACGTCCGCACGGTCAGCGTCTCAACAGTCCCTCAGCCCTGGCACCTCCCCTCTCGGCCACAGCCCATCCCTCCTCGGGCCAGTGACTTCCAGAGACGAGATGCAGAGGCTTCTGCAGGGGCCAGCCCCCCGAGACCCTCCCGCCAGCCCCCCCGGTGAGCCTCCGCGAAGCCCCGAGTCCCCTGGCACCAGCCCTGCCCCCCAGAGGTCCCCCGGCAGCCCCGGAGCGCCGCCACGCAGCCCCCGCCGGAAGAAGAGGCGAGCCGCGGGGCCCAAAGGGGGGGGGCGCCTGGGCACTGCGGGCTCCACGCCGGCCCAGCAGAGCTCCCCGCAACTCTCTGAGCCCAGGCCCAGGGAGGGCCTTGTCCCAGCTGGGTCCCGGGGGAAGGGTCTCTCGGCGGGGGCGGCGGGGCAGGCGGTGGGGCAGACGGTGGGAGCCGGGCAGGCTGAGCTGGGGCCGGAGCCTGCGGGAGCCCCTGAGCAGGTGGCCGGCCCAGGGCCGGGTCTGGATCTGTCTACACCTGTCCCTACAACTGAGCGAGGTCCTGACCTGCTCAGAACGACCCCCAGAACTGAGCTGCGCAGTGCACCCGCACCGGCCCAGGAGGCCCCCCCAGGGGTCTCCGCGGCTAAGTCAGACACAGCTCTGACCGCACTGGCCGCCAAGCCCCAACCGGACACGACTCTGTCTACACCTGCCCACGAGCCCCAACCTGACACGCCCGTGTCCGCACCCACCCGCGAGCCCAGGACGGATGTGGACCCGCCTGCACTGGGCCTGATGGTCCAGCCAGAGGGGAACTCGTCTGCACCCACCTGGAAGGGCCAGGCCGATGCGGGCACAGCTGGACCTGCCCTCGTCCCCCAGGCTGGGCCTGACACCACGGAGCCTGGCATTGCCCCCACGGCCAGGCTGGATTTGAGCTCCACTGTGTCTTCAGGGGGCCACCGTGTGAAGCCCAGAGGGGAGCCCCCAGCAGGTCCCCCCGGACACCACTTGGGAGAGACCCCCACAGGTCCCGTCCAAGCCCCCAAGAAGAAGAAAGTGCGGTTCTCCTCAGCTGTGCCAAGCCCCGAGGAGCCGGGGGCCGGACGGGCTTCAGGCCCACCCACGCTAGCCACAGCCTGGCCCTCAGCCCCCAGGACAGTGGCTGGGGGCCGTGGGGGGCCGGGAGCTTGGGACGCAGTGGCAGTGGGACCCCGGCCACCCCAGCCTCGGATCCTCAAGCACCTGCCTTCCCCTGTGCCCTCTGCCTCTGGGGGGCCCGAATACAAGAGCCGCTTCGCAGTGACCGTCCCAGAAGCCTATGAGTTCTTTTTCTGTGACACCATCGTGGAGGAAGATGAGCAGGCTGAGGAGGAGGCAGAGGCGAGCCAGTCCCTGGCCGAAGTCCAGTGGCCGGACGTGTGCGAGTTCTTCTTCCGGGACCGTCGGGCCCAGAGGCTGGGGCGTCATAGTGGCCGCTGCCCGGCCCCAGACCCACCGGCCCAGCCCGGGCCTGCCCCTTTGCCCAGAGACCCCATGCCCATCTCCATCCCCGAGGCCTACGAGCACTTCCTTGGGGAGGACAAGCTGCGGGGAGTGCTGGATCCAGCCACCCTGCTCCGGCTGCAGGCCGCAGAAACCCCCAGGTTGGAACCCCAAGGGAAGGCGCCTGGCACCCCCACAGAGCCCAGCGCAGCCACAGCAGAGCAGCTCGACCTGGCGGTCAGGCCAGCAGGTGTGTGCTGCCCGGGCCCCACGGCCTGGCCAGGTCCTGGGAACACGCTGTCCAGGGATTTTAGCCAGGACTGTTGGGGAGGCGCAGGCCAGGACCCCGGGGCATCAGCCAGTGGGGGGTGGGGGGACCCTCAGGATGATCTGGGAAGGAAGCAGCAGGTCCTGGCCATCCCGGGACATAGTCCAGGTGGGGAAGCCCAGACTAGGTCATTCGGGGTTTTAGCTGAGCACTGACAATCACCCCGCGTTAGGGCCCGGTTGACACCAGCGCCCTGCCCCCAGCCTCCAGGGCAGGGCCCGGGTGGCTTTGGCTTAGACCTTGCGACTGGCCGGGTCAGGCAGGCACTCAGTGAGCTTCATCTCACACCCCCTGGAGGGTAAGTCAGACACCAGGAAACCCACCCTGACTCAGCTATGCCACACACTGTCCTGTGGCTCAGAAAGTGTGACCCAGGACAGACGTGTCCTCAGACAGACATGTCCGGGACAGACGTGCCTGAGTGGAGTGGCTGGAGCTCAGGGCATGTTTCCTTCCTAGGGGAGTCTCTGGGTCCCCTCACCTCGTTCACCTTCAGCCAGAACGACATGTGCCTGGTGTTCGTAGCCTTTGCCACCTGGGCTGTGAGAACGTCAGACCTGCACACCCCAGACGCCTGGAAAACAGGTTTGGGGGCCCTGCTGGGGAGGGGGGCTGGGCGGTACGGGTGAGGGGAGTCCAGAGGGTCGCAGGTCTCCTCCCTGACCTCGCTCCTCCCTTTGCTGACCCACTGCTGGCGCCCTTTAGGCTGGGCCAGCGCGCAGAGTGGTGACCGGCCAGGAGCTGGCACTCAGGAAGCCTGGTCTTCTCTTACAGTCTTGCTGGCCAACATCGGCACCATCTCCGCCATCCGCTACTTCCGCCGGCATGTGGGGCGGGGACGCCCCAGCCCCAGCCCCAGCCCCAGCCCCTAGGACCCAGCCTTGGCCTAGGAAATGGCCGAAGGTGCTAGGGATGAGGTGCTGCCCTCCAGCCCTGCCCTTTGACCCTTGTGTTCCAGTGTCTAGGAAGAAGCCAGTGTCCTCAGTCCTGGCTACCTGGGCCGGCACCCGAGGCTCCACACCTGGGCGGGGGAGACTCGGAAGGCAGGTGGCCAGGGCTGAGTGGGAGCTGGTTAGTAAGGTGGCCAGATTAGCAAACAAAAGCAGGCGTCCAGCGAAACTGGAATTTCAGACACGCAATAGCTGAGATGAACTCACACTAGGAAATTATTTGTGGTTTATCTGAAATCAGATTTAACTGGGCGTCTGTATTTCATCTGGTTGTCTGGTCAGGGGTGAGGGGCAGGATGGGGCATTGAAATTGGAGAGTGTCTGAGCTGCGGCAAGGCCCCAGTGGAGATCTGGGCGGGGGCAAGGGCAAGGGTGCAGGGGCAGGGGTGTCCCAGGGACTCTGCCCTGCTTCAAAGTGGGCTGGGATGGTGAGGGCCTCTGAAGCCTCTTTGACCCCAGACCCCAAGGGCCGGTGGCCAAGGTCTCCTTTGCTCCTGCCTGAGACAGCGAGCAGGTGCCACTAGGGGTCTGTGGGGAGGCGGCCCCAGATGCCCTGTGGGGTGGGGCTCTGTAGGGCAGGGCCTGGAGTCCCCCCTGGGAGCCCTGGACGAGGTACGCAGCAGAGTGTGGGGGTGTCAGGTGGAGGATGGGACATCTGGGATTGTCCCAGGGCTAGGAGGAGCCAGAGATGGGGCAGGAAGGTGGGCAGGAAGGTGGGCAGGGGGCCACCAGCTTGGTGCTGAAAGGGTGTCCAGCTGGAGTCAGTGTGCATAGGATGCCAGGGACAGCGGGCAGCTCCTGGCCGCTGAGTGAATAACATGTGGACGTGGCACAAATAAAGTCTTCTCTTCTCCACGTTCGGTCTCCTGTCAGTTTCTCCCGAACACCCCCGTCCCGCCCACAGCTGCCCAGGCCACCCTCCCACCTCTGTGGGTGATGTGTTGAACCTTGCTAACCTCTGACTCGCGTGGCCCCTGACCTCTTGTACTCCGACCCTCACTAGACTGATTTTCTCGACCTCTGGCCTGTGCCCCATGCCACCCTCCCACTCCCAGGCGAGGCCCCCGTCGGTCTCCGCCGTCCCCTCCCTGGGGTCAGGCCTGGGCCCCGTCCCTGCGGGCGTCCTGCTGATCTGTGCTCCACCGCCTCTGGCCACAGCATCCTCAGGACAAGGCTGCTGCCTGGCCCGCCAGGGCCTAGAAAACTCAGGGTTCTGGAGACGCCCTGTAGCCTGTGGGGGGCAGAGCCTGACTCGGTATTGGGTGGGGGTGGTTGGCCTGTGGGCTACACAGAAGGACGCAGGCCTTGCTCACTTCCCCAGAGTCAATGCTGGCAGGTGGTCCTGAGAAGCAGACTCCCCATCAGATCCACTGGATGAACCCCGCCTCGGCCTCAGCTGCTCCACGGGGCCGCCGCTGGTTGCGGGGAGATGCGGCCTTGTCCCAGATGTTGTCATAGCTCCTGGGGGTGCTGCCATCTGGTGGGAAGGGTGGAGCCGCATGTGCTTTCAGGAGGCTGCGCCCCAAGCCCCCCAACTCCCAGAGGCAGGTCCCTCACTCACCTGGGGGAGGCAGCAGGGGGCCGGGAGAACCCCCTCTCAGACGGGACACCTGCAGACCCCAAATACCAGTCTGAGAGCCAAGCCCTGGGGGAACTGCCAGGTCCCACACCCACCCTTTCTTCCTGGCCCTCTCCCCTTTCTGCCCCCTCCCTGCCACTGCTTCCTGTCGCCGGTCTCCACTGCCCCATCGTCCCCTACCTCACGGAACCCCCTGCCCAGGGTGGGGCCGACACTCACGAGCTGAGGAGAGTCTGGGGGCCCACGGCTCTTGGTGGAGCACTGTTGCCGCTGAGAGGCCCGGGGCTGCAAGGCCCCCTTTTTGGAGGGCAAGTGGAGGCCGCAGGGTCCGGAGCTAGGGTCGGAGACAGGCACAGACACAGGGACCAAGGGGAATGGGCTCGAGGGCTCGGGTCCAAGTGAGCTCTGCATGGCACTGAGGAACTGCAGGACAGCGTGGTGACTCGAGGCCCTGGGCTGGGGCCTCTGGAGCTGAGACCCATGCCCACAAAGCCGCTAGCCCCTCGAGCCCTGAGCAGACCTCAGGCTGTGGACACAGCCAGACCTGTCTGTCACCAGCAGGGCACTGACCTCATCCAGGCCCCGGACGTCTGTGATCTTGTGGTGGGAGGTGGCAGGTGGCGTGTAGGGGTCGGCGTACAGTGGGGAGTGTGGCGCCTCCACGGCGTGGCCTGGGGCTTCGGGGCCGCACTCCAGGCTCAGCTGCAGGCAAGAGAGACAGGCTTGCTGGGGCTGGAAGAGGCTGAGTCCTCCCCTCTCCCTGCAGGAGGCCTCTAGGCCCAAAAGACAGAGGCCGGGGAGGTTCAGGGAGCTGGGGTCAGTGTGCTGGGCCCACCTTGGTCAGGTCCAGGTGCAGTGGGGGGCTTGGGCCCGACCCCTCACTCCGGGCCTTGCTCCTGGGCGACCGACCGCTGCCACCCCGTCTCAGCTCTGCCTTCTGCCCACCGATGCTGGTATAGCCAGGGCTGGTCTGGTCCTGTGGGGACCAAGGACCTTCCAGAACCTTCCCCGGGGCCCTCCCCCACACAGCCCTCTGAGGATGCTCTCCGGTCTGAGTCCCCTGCCGTGAGTAGCCAGAGTCCCTCTGGGGATGGGATGCTGTGGGGGCCAGACTTCCCACACTCGCCTTGCAGCCCCCAGCCTCTTTCCTCTATCCGTACCCCAGACACTCACAGGTGCAGGCTGGGCAGGGTGGCCCGCAGTGGGCAGCACTGAGGACTCAGGGAGGGAGTGGCTGGTGCAGGTAGAGGAGGGTGCTGGGTACCCTGAGTCCCAGCTGGTCCGTCCATCTGAGGAGAGTGAGCCCCGGCCACTGCCCAGGGCCTGGGCAGCAGGGGAGCGGGGTGAGTGCATGGCAGGACCCCCTCCCCGCCTCTCCCATCCCAGCTGCACCCTTCCGCCCCACCGTGGGCAGCACCTCACCTGGGGGGGCATGCGCAGCCCCGGGAAGGTCTCAGGGCTGGGCAGGAGGGGGACCCCACCCCTGCGGGAGACCGTCTGCAGGCAGAGCAGCCAGCGGCTGTAGTCCTCGTAGCTGGCACACACCACGCGGATGGTGTTGATGAGGCGGCCTGGCACACAGATACCGTGAGGGGCTGGGCACCCGCCAGGCTCGCGCCCCCCAGGCCTGGCCTCCACACACCTTCGATTAGGAAGGAGCGGATCTGCTTCTCCTTCTCCTCCAGGTTGACTTGGATGGCGGCCAGCGGGAGCTCCCCCTGCAACAGGGTGGGGGAGGGGAGGGGCTGAGTCTGGGGCAGCCCTGAGGGGACCAGGTGCTACACCTCTGCCCTGGGCAGGGCCTTCATCAGCCAGAGGCAGACACGCTGGATGCTTAAGGGGACTGGTCCCCTTAGTCACCTGCTAAGATGGGGAGGCGGGGAGCTGTTGGGGTGCTACAGGGAAGTGCCGTGTGTGTGATTCTCCACGACTGAAGGCCATGGTCCCCACGATTGCCCCAGGCGATGGTGGCTGAGGACCCTCTAGGATGATACCAGGTGCTAGGCAGGGGCCCCTCCTTGCCCACATCAGAGCTGAGACCAGACTGACCAGGGCAGCAGGCTGGGCGGGTGGGGCCAGCACGCTGTCCCAACAGGCCCCGAAATACAGGTTCCTCCTGAGCCGCTGCCCCCTCCCACCCCCACCCACAGAGCACCTCCCTGGGGCGGGACCGCGGTGGGGAGGGACCCACCTTAAAGCAAAGCCCGTCTGCCTCCTCAGAGAAAATGGCCAGGGAGGTCGGGTACAGGACCAGGAGCCGGTCCCACTGCTCCTGCGAGGGGGCCGAAGGCCGAGTGAGTCTCCACGGGAGTGCACCAGGCCCCCACCAGCTGCCTCCCGCATCTGCCCCCACCCACAACCTTCATCTCCTCGCCCCGCCCCCTGCCCCCATCACTCGCTCCTGTGCGCCCCGCCCACCTGTGAGGGCAGATGCTGCAGCTTGACCCTTGAAGCGCAGATGGCACTGCCCACCGCTTGGCACCCTGACGCCGTCCGCACCCGGGTCAGCCTGCGCTGCAGAGTCCAGGGGAGCTCGTCCTCAGGGGGGCCCTGGTAAAGGGGGGTCAGGGCGGGCAGAGGAGGGGACTGGATAGGGGTGTGGGGTTTAGGCACTGACCTGTGGGGGCGCTGAGTTGCAGCGCCGAAGCCCTCCAGCGAGAGCCATCTGCTTTTCCAGGTAGTACAGCCAGCGGTCCCGCTCAGCCGGGCTGGGGCAGAGCACCAGCAGAGGGGCCGGCAGCGGGCCTGTGGGTGGAGGACAGCGTGGGCTGGACGGGTGGCCCATGGGAAAGGCCCCTGCCCAGGCTCCGCACACCCCTGGGGATAGACTCAGGAGGAGCCTATGGCGCCAGCCAGGACCAGAGCCAGTGACAAGGCCACATGTGCAGTTCTGGAGGCCCCTGATCCGCTGCCCTCCCCGCAGCCTGGCACGTGCCCGTGTGCCCGCGGAGGAAAAGGCAGGCCCTCGCACCATGCTCACGGGCCTGCCGGTGTCCCACACACCTGTGATCTGGAAGGCAGGCTCTGCGGACCCCTCCAGTGGGCCGATGCTCAGCTCCATCAGTGGTAACAGCCCCTGCCAGAGCACAGGGGAGGGCTGGGCTGGGGCCCCCGGTGGGAGTGGCCCGGCCTCCCGGGGGGGGGG